TGGGAAGAAGTATCAAAGAACCGTTTCATATGTATCTATGTAATGAGACTTATCATGTTTCTCTTTCTTACTTTAATTGCATTTATTATTTGTTTAATATATGAGACTGATATAAATTCACTGTTAAATATGATCTTAGACAATCATTAATGGTGATACTTTTGTAGTATCATCTAATTAAAAAAAAAAACTTTAGAGACTTTTGGGTAGAAACTTCTCATTGGAAAAACAGTTTTGATATTGTCTCTAAATTGTTTCTACCACATATTTATATATTACTGGTTCATTATTTATTTAATAATTTAATATTTAAAGAATTAATAAAGTTAAATAAAAACTATCAAAAAATTATTAGTTGGAAACTCTGACGGGTCTCACCGTTATTGATGATTTTATTGAGAATACTATTAATCATTTTTATAACTATATATTTTTTCTATATATAAAGTTAATTAAATAGTATATGTAAAAAAATGTAAAATGTAGTACGAAGGGGGAAAGAAAATTAGCATGAATAACAAAAAAAAATTATAACTAAAATTATAACAAACTAACCTAGATTTATTAGTTCATGTTTTGCCACACATACTAATTTTATTTACTTTTTAATTATAAATTTTTTTTGATTAGTTAGCAAATAGTGGCAGGGGGAAATGGGTATGTTTTTGAATTTTAAGAGATGAAGTAAAATAAGGGGGAAGATGCTTGTTCCATTATGACAAGTCCTTTTGGAATATTTCATGGATTTAATACTTTGATTGGTTGTAATTTTATATTTACATAAATCTTGAAACCACCCTAGCTTTTTGTTGCTTTAACCCAAATATAATGAAAAGTACATCGACTCGAGTGCCTTTGCTTGGACTTGCAATAACAAGAGGCACACTAGCTTGGTGTTTCCTAGTGCATTGGACCACCCACCCAACCCTCGGAGATTCAGGGGACTCGGATTGGTGATTTCTTTATAAAAATGAATCTGATTAGTAAAAAAGAGAAAATTAATGTGATAATCTATGGTTGTGGGACCCTTTGAAAAGATTCTGCACGCTCACAACTAAAGATTCCCTCCATCTTCATCTTCTCTGGATCCAGTTGTTTCTTTTATTCTTCAAGAAAAACAATCAAAGATTACATATCCTTAATTATTATAATTATCACCCTTTCT